CTCCTCCTCCTGCTCCTCCTCCTCCTCCTCCTCGTGCCCCAGGGCCTTGTGCATGCGAGGGGAGCACCCTACCAACCTACCTCTGTCCCCAGCCCAAGATGAAGTGGTTGAGCAGCAATTTCTCAGACCTACGTGTCTTTGGAGCCTATGTCATAGTCTGGGTGGGTGGGACGTACGTACGTGTGACCTCTTATAAATCTGCACAAGGAGGACGGAGGGTCCAGAGAAGGAAGACGGACCCCCCCTCACGCATCCCATGCTACCAGCGCCTTTCAATTCTCTTTTGCAGGAAGATGAGGGCCCTTCTCCTCTTGCTGGTATTTCTGGGGGCAACCCAGAGCCACACCGCGTCAAGGCCGAATATCGTCCTGTTGATGGCCGACGACCTTGGCATCGGCGACCCTGGATGCTACGGGAACAAGACCCTCAGGTTTGCACGCGCAGCTGCCGTGTGGGCACGTGGCGCTGTTCACGGGAAACGGGCTCCCGTAGAGGTGGACGCAGAGGGACAGAGCCCAGACCACAGGGCAATGTGGAAGTCCCTTCATGTGGGGCACCCCGGGGCGTGGATTGTCCCTGAGTTTGGGCGTGACTTGCAAGACCTCAAAGCCACCCCAGGAGTGTGCCCCTCCAGAGGTTCTCTGGCTCTGCTGACGGCCTCCCTGTGCCCCTTTCGTCCCCTTCCTTGACTTTCCTTGGGCATCTGGCTGGGTTCCAGCTGGTCCCGGGCCTGTGCCACCTCATGGGAGCCTAGGGACCTTTATTGTCCCTTCAAGACCCACCAGCCAGCTCTCTGTCCATCTGCAGCGCACCTGGACTCTCCCGGGCCACGTGGGCTGCAGGAACAGGACACCCCAGCCCGGGGGGCTCATGAGCTTAACATGTCCTGCTCTCAGCCCTTGAGGCTGCAGCCCGAGGTCCAGGCGGGGCCGACCGGGGTCAGCTGAGGGCTGCTTCCTGCTCCCACAGGGGCCTTCTCCTGGGTCCTCCGTGGGGGACGGGCAGGGGGCTCCTTGGGTCTCTATGGTAAGGACCCTCGTCCCCTTCATGGGCTGCACCCTGTGACCTCAGCCCCTCCCAGAGCCCCACCTCCGACACCAGAATCGAACACGGGAACTTGGGGACACACAAACACACTCAGGTCATTGCACTGGTCAGAGGGCTGGTGCATGACTGCATGAGTCTCCGTGAGCTGCTGTAACAAAACAGCCCAGCCCTGGAGGCTTATGGAGCACAGACCCCGACTGCTCTCAGCTCTGCAGCTGCAGCCCAAGGTCCAGGTGGGGCTGACCGGGATCAGCTGAGGCTGCCAGGTGGAGCAGATTCCGGGCACGCACCTCACGGGTATTAACAAGCACCTCCCGGAGGAGGACATCGGGTTGGGAAGCCCTGTGCCTGGAATTGCCGTCACTCGGGATGTCATGCAAGGGCCCTGTGGTCGCTGTGTGATAGGCGATGGGAGTTCCAGACTCCTTTTCTCTCGTGAGCAGTGAATAAACCCTGCTCCCTGTGCAGAAGATCAGTATAACCTAAATTAAAAGAGAGGGCACCCAGCTCTAAAACCGAACGATTCTTCAAAAAAATAATACCCTGCCCCATGTCCCAGAGGGCCCAGGTCAGCTTGGCTTGCACGGTCCTCACCAACGGCCCGGTTCTTTCACCCCAGGACTCCCAACATTGACCGGCTGGCCAGCGGGGGGGCCAAGCTGACCCAGCACCTGGCGGCGTCCCCCCTGTGCACCCCGAGCAGGGCGTCCTTCCTGACGGGCCGGTACTCGGTGCGATCGGGTAGGTGACCATCGTCCTGGGGGACGGCCAGCTCCAGGGTCACTCTGGTTCTAAGGGCGTCTTCCGCTGGCCCCTCAGGAATGGCGTCGTGGAACAGAATGGGCGTGTACGTCTTCGCGGCTTCCTCTGGAGGACTGCCCCCCAGTGAGGTCACCTTCGCCAAACTTGTGAAGAGCCAGGGCTACTCCACAGCGCTCATAGGTATGGAGTCCTCGGGAGGGTGCAGGGGGTGCGGGCAGGGCTGGCCAGAGAGCAGGGGAGGCCGGGCAAGCTCAGGGCGCCGACACCCGCACAGCGTACATCTCCACATGGGGAGCCTCAGGACGGTGTCAGCCGCACAGCACACATCGTTACATGGGGGTGAAGGCACTCGGCTCAGGGCGAGACCATGATGTGCAAGTCAGCCTAATGGTGTGTGTGTGTCCTTATATGAGTTGGTGAATATGGATGGGTGGGTGGGTGG